CAAGTCAAATGTATTTGTTAAAACAAGATGAACGATCTTTTACAAAAACCACAGCAGCTTAAAAAACGTGTTTAATTTGAGAAACAAAATAAGATGTTTTCAAGAATCTTGAAGATGCATTGTCTAAAAACAAGAGCCTATTTCTCACTGCATTGTTACCTCTTCAGTTATTAGGTCTTATATCGAGTGTAAAGTCATATTCTGAAGATTTTGAGTTTTTATAGTGTGAGAGTTGTCTGTGTTACATCTGCATAAAAAACAACAATGCTGCCCTCTTGTGTCAACATAGGAGAATGTAGAGACATTTGAATTTTTCACATCATGCACAGAATCTGAGATACAGAGACATAAAAGTCCCTTCTTTATCGGAGCAAAGTTCTCTTGAGTCTTTATCGCTTTGCAGTCGCCCTGTATAACAATCTAGAGTCTTTCTGGGTCTCTTTGTAGTTGTTTTGCCTCTTTATGAAGTAATTTAGCACTTCTTTGTGGCGTCATGCCTCTTTCTCATCATTTTGCATTTCTTTGTGGACTTGTTGCGTCTATTTTCTCCTTTCTCTCTTTTGTGATTTTGTCTCTAAGTTGCATCGTGCATCTCTTTCCATGGCTTTATAAATGTGAGGTTGTTGTATCTACATTTCATTTTGTGTCTGCTAGTTCTATAGTGGATTTTGTATTAAATTGTAGTGGTTTGATTGACTTTCAAACAATTATTAACGGTCACTTTAACGTGTCACGTCCTCTTATCGTCTCCGGTAATGCTTTCTCTGTTTGCAGTTTCCTGTGATTTCTTGTATATATTCGTCTCATTGTAGATTCTTTCATTCCTGCCCATGTGTGTGTCCATTGTGTGATTGTTTCACCTGTCGCTCCTTATCCCCCGGTCTTAGTCTAGTTTTATACCAGCGTTTGGACAACAGGTAAATACTTTCAAAATACTGTCTGCTTGTGTGAGTTTTCTAGTCTTGCATTTAAGTCAATTGTCTGATTCTGTGGTCGTCGCCCGTAAACCCAGTTGGCCCGGTCAGAAATCCACACAAACCAATTTAAGTCCACCTTTAATAATAATTTACATAATGTATTGATGATATTTGACGCCAGAAGTTGTTGTTTTTATGATTAACAACAACACACTCATTTCAGACTTTTCAATCATTCATATTTTATGTATACAACTGGAATGTGTGTTCTTGTCAAAAAGCCACATATCAGTGTTTCCCAGCCTGTTCATAGTATTTAAATGTACTCAGTTTGTGTGTCAACCTGTTAAGTACCATACGAGTGGGTTTCACGATGAATCTGACAAAGGCACGTTCACTAAATGTTTCCTAAACGTGTTGAAACAGAGGTAGAAACCAAGACTCATGTGGTACTCAAAGCCGGTTAAACAATACGTTCTTAATACATCTCGACTCAAGTCTGGCTTGATTGTCTCAGGCTTATCAAAAGTTTTAATGTTCAGGGGGAAAAAAAAATGGTCTTCTGTTGTGTTAGTTACAAATATAAAACAATACATACTTTTCAAAAGCTGTTAACAAATACAGGACATCACCAATACATAATATACAAAAAAAACAAAGAAGCAACCTCCAGTTCAACACGTTCAGACAGTCTGATACAGTATGTGTGTAAGGCATCTATTGTAAAGGCACAGCTAAGGACAAGCACATCGATAGAAATGTTTTTACAGTGTTCTGCATAGTTTGTAGAACAACCTGCATAAAGAGTGTGATAGCAGAAGTGTGTGAAGTTAAATTAATTATATTCTGGGGTTGATACACCCAAAGACGCCAGCTTTTTGTATTGCCTATAAAAAACGGAACGTCAAACTACTTTGAAAATCAATTCATTTGACTGAAATTAGATATGAGGACACCCTGATAATGGCTTCTCTTCTGCACAAAGACCAGTGTCCCATGCTGAGGGCCACAGTACAGCTATTAATTAATATTTAACTATTGGACCCAGTCTGGATGCACGTGTCTCAGCAGAAAGTGCAACCGTAGAAACCAGTTGCAAAAGTTCCATCTCTCCACACACATGGACATTTCCCACTCTTCATATCTTGTGTTGTCCTAAAAAAACCTTTACATGACACTACATTTTAATGATGATTTCCTTATTAAAAAAAATTCTTAAACTAGCTCCAAACTTTCTGAGTCGTAAGAAATAAAAAATAACGGCAAATTTTAAGACCCCAACAAGAAACTCAGAGGGCAAATCAGCACGAGATCTCGCTCACAAGTCATAACCTGATGGGCCAAAAACACAAGAATGAAAAAGCCCCACTCACTAACAGACGATGCTTTGCACAACATGCCACTATTTGAGGATGTTTAGATTGCAGCCCTGAAGAAATAGAAATGTCTTTGCCTGATGTTTTTCACTGACAGACCTGTCAACCAATCACTGTAGAGAAACGAGTGGATGTATTAATCCATATGTCTTATAGGAAAAGGCCATACCCAGTTTCTTCTTTAGCTCTCAGCAGCAGGTTGTTATTTTGAGAAAACTCTTTTTTAAAGCGTCTTCTCCGAGGACTCCTAGTGTATATGAATATGGCCCCTTAGCATGTAAAGAGTCTTGAACCTTTGCAACATTGAAACCACATTTCTGGATCGCGTACTGTAGTAACCAGAGTAAAACCCACCAAATAAACATACTCTGGCTGCAGCACATGGAAAACACATAATGGCTTTATGCAGCTTTAGAACAAGGCACCAAAGGTAAGAAAACACTGGAAGAAAGTGGAGAGGCATTTTGTGACCCTTTGAAAAACAATTATAACACTAGCAGTTTGCCGATGGTCGTCATGCGTCGACCAGTAGGAGAGGCTGGATGATTTCCCTGTCAGTGGCATCTTAAAGTCCGTGCAGACAGTTAGCGGTTGCTCCTCATGGCCTCCTTGGCTGCCAGGATGAGCGGGGTGAGGCTGGACAGAGGCTTGGCCAGCTTCAGGAATGGGTGCTAGAGAGAGAGAGACAGACAGAGGAGAGAAGACGTGAAATATAATAAGGTCAGAGTACACGAACATTTAAACGCTAAACCTGTGTCAGGTGACAAGCACAAACGACTAACATGTGCTGTGGTCTTTGCACATTTTCAGGTTGTTGACTGGTGGTCGGAGACAACACACTTTTCCAAGACGTCATTGTTGTTGACATTTCTATGTACACTTGTTTATGACATTTGGTAGCCTAAATGATGAATAAGTCGAAAGAATGTGGTTCTTTAAAAATGTTAAAAAGTTACCTAAACAATATTGACGTTTGGCCAGGATCCGTCATTATTCAATTAAACAAATAAATAAAAACAAGAATAATTGTGGCTTATTGTTGAGTAAATAAGTGTGTGGTTTAGAATAGAATAAAAAAGGATAAGAAAATACAGATTTCAGTTTTCTGAGCCCCGACTCTCTTCCTCACTGACGGCAAAAAGACGGACAGAAAACAATTAAAAATAAAGAAGTAAAAGCAATAATTGTGGCTTGATATTGAGTCAGAGACAAGTTGATAAACGCAGTGACACTTGGTTTATCAGAGAGCATTTCTCCGCCATCTCAAGTCGTCTATTATATAAGAGAGAGATAAGATAAGATAATACTCTATTGATCCCAATTTGGGAAATGTTTGTGTTGCAGCAGCATAAAAAGACATGGAATGACAAGAAATAAACAGAGTAGAAAATGTTGAATTAACAAATGAACAATAACAAGATAAAGCAAGGTATTATATATAAGTATGTGACACATGGAATATTAAATATTAAACTGAATATATAAATGTAAAATGTGTGAGGAATAAAAACTGATTGCTGATTTTCATCAGAGGTCAAATTGTGTCAGACGTCTCTTGGATGCTCCCATTGCAGAAAAACATGATTGAGTTCATTTCTCACAATAAAAACAACTACTATTGAACAGTCTGCTGTGGGTTGGCTGAAGGGAAACACAGTCCAGGTGGGATTTGAACCCGGTCTTAAGTAAATCTGTTTTAGGACGAAATGTGTATGCTTAATTTCTCTGCCGGTTAAAGAAGATACACTTTCTGCATCTTCAGTGTCACCTTTTTTGTCTCTCTGGTTCATTCGGTCCGGCGGGGAAGGACAAAGATTGAGTAGAAGAAACAGGGTTTGAACCCCGCCTGAGGGAACAACAAAGGAGTTTGTGTGGCTTCATTTGTCGCCTCATTACAATTTCAAAAATGATTCAATATGATTTCACATTGATTTCCTCTTGGGTATTTAATGATAGCTACCAACTAACGGAGGGAGGTCATTTGTATTCAGTGTGTTATATTCATGAGAGGAGAATAAGGACAGAGAGGTCAGAGATGGTCCTGCTTTAAAGTCCTCCTTCTGGGGACATGTGGACAAATGTCTCTGGGTTATTTTTGGCTGCCATAAAAGAGAAATAGTTTTGAAATGTACAAAAAACATTTGGGATCGGTCAATTGGTAGCAAGGATGCTAGAACAGTCAGTAGCTCGTCTGCATACTATGGCTTGAGAGTCAAAAGCTCATTTGTTTTTGGCTCAGTAATGAGACCAAAACTGTGATTGGTTTTAGGGTAGGTGGTTTCAAAATAAAGAAAGAAGATACAAAAACATTATTTTCTGAATTAGGAATTGCAACACTGATGGAGACAGAGATCATATCACTCTGATCTGAGGTCAGGGAGATAATGGAGCATCAAAACCTGAGAAAAACTAAAGCTGCCTTGCTCCAAAATGTAAATAGTAAAAATAATACTTTGGAGAGAGAAGCAGAGATCATAATATGGTTTGTGTGTAATGCTGGTTTTACATCAAATGTGTTTTTTTAACTGGGTTTAATCTCAATGAGTAGTAAGATTATGTATATTTAAGAATATGAAGTGAATAGTGCTGGGTGGGTTCCTGTCAGCTCTGAGTTCAGTGGGCTGTGTCAGTCTCTTCCTCTTCAGCAGCTGCAGGTGGTTCCTGCTGTAACAGCTCAGAGTCTCTGCAGTCTGACTGAGGGAGGTTTTTGTACGACTTCAAATCACTGTGTGAACACGTAAGCACTGTGGTAACTCAGACAGTAATAAACTGCTGCATCTTCAGCCTTCAGTCCAGTGATGGTCATAGAGAAGTCAGATCTTCTTCCACTGCCACTAAACCGAGGTTCTGTTCCTGATTCAAGTGTGCTCGCAAATCTTATCAGGAGCTTTGGAGGCTGTCCAGATTTCTGTTGATACCAGGACATACAATCATAACTACGAACAACACGGCAGGAGTGATAAACATCTGTGCTGGTTTTACAGGTGAGAGTGACGGTGGATCCTGGAGCAGACGTCTCGACTGCAGGCTGAGTCACAGTCACCTGACCGCTGCATCCTGCACACAAAAACAGATCATTGATTTCTCAGCAGAAAGAAAGGAGAGGAAAGGCAGCACATGATGTTTGAAATGTTGCTGAGTGAATGAACCTGTGAAACAGCAGCAGGCCAGCGTCCAGATGAGGATGGTGATGAGAGTCATGGTGCTTTCTGCTGACTGACAGATGTGAGTCCTGCAGTGTTGAACTCACAGGACTATAAACCTTCTCACTGGAGGATCAGCTGACCATGCAAAGCCTCCTCTCTATGGAAATGATTTCTCTGCTCTCAGCACACTGAAGGCAACGTGGGACACGAAACCAGGAGGAAAGCTGTCTGGATTTACACCGTCTATCATCTGAATGGAAGAACATATTTATATCAGGAGTGGAGATGAGGATTTGAGTTTGTGTCCACTGTGGTTGGTATGATATGTCTGTTTGTCTGACATTAACATACATACAGAGATTCACTGTAGATAAATAACATGTTTCAGTTCTGTTTCAAATACATTTGTTAATAACTATTATTTAAAAGCCTCATGTTCATTTAACCATGTAGAAACTAATATAAAACTGACAAAGTTAGTTGTGTAGCAGACTGTAATGGTTTCTCTGCCAGGTGTAGAAAAGTGATGAAAAATGACATAAATCATATTAATTCTTCCAGATATGTAATCCATATCTTTAGAAAAGCTTTGTTAATTTAAAAACTGTATATTTGTCTCTGTTATCAGTGAGATCAGGGAGCTTTCTCAGTGGATACATGCTTGTTGACAGTGCAGGAGGTTTTTGTACGGCCACTTAATGAGTTTGTATCACTGTGGTGGACTTTTGGTGGAGGAACCAAACTCATCATTGACTGTAAGTACCAGAGATTTGTATTTTATACAACTTATAGCAAATATATAACTTTCATTAATTATTAAATGAGACTCAACTTCACATTTTTTAGATTCCATTTTTACATGTTTTTATGAAGCTCCTCTTGTAATCTGAAAGGAACCTTTGCAGACTTCTATATTAATTGTTAGTTTCTTACAAATACATTTTTTAAAGCAAATAACTTGTTTATTTTCTATATTATATTTTATTATCAAAACAACTTTATACTCAATGTTTGTATTTATTAAGATTTGTTAACGCGTGACGTCTCCGCCACATTCAGTTTTACATTTGTAGTTCACAATATTGTATTTATTTACATTATTTATCTATTGTCTATTAAAATATCAACTATTTTGTTGAATTCAAGTTAAATATGGATTCATTTTAAACTTGTGATTGTATCAGTGAATGCAGCTTGTCGTCGTGTTCACGGTTCATTGATTTGACATGCAGTGAAAAGGAAGTGAAAGAGACAGATGATAAATGTTTGAACTGTTTTCACTTGAGACGTTCAGCTCTGTCAGTTTAAAGAACATCATCACACATATGAAGATATTCAATCATTATTATCAATGAATCTTTAGCTTGCTCACTTTACACAAAGTCAGTCATTCACACTTGAATCATGTGGGAGTCTGATCCTGAGTGATTTATGAGAGTAACAGCAGCACAACTTGTTCTGTTTTATTTGATGAAATATAAGGATTCAAGGATTCAAGGCTTTTATTGTCATGTGTACAGAGCTACAGTGCAGATATGTTAGTGAACATCTTAGGTCACAGGCTCCTCCCACAGAGCTACAGTGCAGATATGTTAGTGAACATCTTAGGTCACAGGCTCCTCCCACAGAGCTACAGTGCAGATATGTTAGTGAACATCTTAGGTCACAGGCTCCTCCCACAGAGCAGCACAATAACACAGATACAATAGTGCAAGGAGAGTCTATATACAAGTAATTGGAATATAATATATTAGATACATAATGTGTAAGTTGCAAACAGATGAATGTTATGGATGTTCTTTTAAAAGAAAACACAAGTTTATTACTTTCCTCATCATCATCATCATCATCAGATTTATTGAAGAGACTCAAGGTCCATTTTTAAAAGACGTACAACACTCAAATGTAAATTAGAAAAGGCAGTGATACCAATGTTTCCACAGAGGTGACTGGTATCGTAAAGTACTGACACAAGGATTTGACAGCAGCAAAATGACAACATCAAAAAAGGACCTTATAATCCAGTTTTCACTCTAATGTCTTCCTTTGCCTCCCCCCCCTCCCTCCCCGCTCCAGTGGGTGTGCAGCAGCCCACCCTGAGCGTCCTCCCCCCCTCCAGAGAGGAGCTGCAGCAGGGCAGTGCCACCGTGGTGTGTCTGGCCAGCGGGGGCTTCCCCTCCGCCTGGAGGCTGGGCTGGAAGCTGGGGGGCAGCAGCAGCTCCTCAGGGGTGTCCCACAGCCCGGAGGTCCTGGGGAGCGACGGCCGCTACAGCTGGAGCAGCACCCTGAGCCTCTCTGCAGAGAGCTGGAGAGGGGCGGGCTCAGTGAGCTGTGAGGCCAGTCTGAGTGGACAGAGCCCTGTCACTCAAAGCCTGGACCCTGCCCGCTGCTCGGAGTAGAGCATCACTTCCTGTCTGGAGAGGAAGCAGCTTCTTTGGTAGAGATCTTCATGAAGACACACATCTCCTCTGCTCACATGTTGCTGCTGTCTCTGTTCAGTTGTTAGTGCTGCTCTCTAATCCTCACTTCCTGCATATTCTCCTGTTTGTTCATCAGCTCACAATTCAACTGGATTTCATTTGTTTCACTCCAACAGAAACTCATCATTCATCTCAAATGTGGCGTGAGCTTTAAACCATCATTAAATAAAAATGTTGATTAAAATGAGACAGTGTCTTTGTATTTCTTTAATGCATATGTTCATTGTGAGAAAGATGTATTAATACCTTCAGTATGAAACCTTGTATTATATTAATATCATTAATGACTGTGGGACAGTTTTTTTAAAGTTTTTTTATTCTTTTATTCTACTAAATTCATAAAAAAAAAAGAATTATAATTCATACACACAAAGATAAACAAAATTAGTAGAAGCGGGAGGGCTGAAGCATAGCTTATGGGAAGTAGCCCTCCTGTGAATCACCCTAATATAACATTGGCATTATTGCGTCAAAAACGTATAGAAATTAAGGAGTACAAAGAAATAAAGAAAAATAAAGAAAACTGGAGAAAAAAATTAATAAAAGTTAGGGTAAGAAAAAAATAAATGCATATATATATATAAGTAAAACTATAGGGTCATTTTCTGCACATGTCAATTGCAGATTCAACTTCCATTTTTGAAAATGAAAATACTATATATAAATATATACATATGTACACATGTACTTGGCAAATGAATAATGATAATAATAATATATGCATATAAACATTATGAACACTTATTTCCAAGTGACTTTTTTTACATTCATATATGTTCACACATAAAATATACACATGTTCAAGTGTATAAGTACACAAATGCACTCATATACACCAATACAAATATTGCAAGGCATTTTCCAGGGCTGAAATAATAATTCAACCCCATAACGATATGAATAAAAATGTAAAGTAATGTTGACCATATTAAATAAATAAACAAACTGAGAAGGTATTAGTTCTAAAAAATAATAATAATAAAATGAAAAAAAAGGATTCCGGGAATACCCAATATTTGTTAGCTGGAGTAATCTGCTAATAGAATATTTTTTTAATTTAGTTTTGAATTGTTGATGACAAGTGATACTTGAAAGGTCTGGGTGAAGTCCATTGTACGTTTCCTTCTTTGTATTTCTTCACCCCTTTCTCGTTTAATTTTTAGGAGAGTGCATGTACGTAGACACGTTGTGCCTCTCTTCCTCTGTTTCTTGCTTTTCTTTTCATACCCCTGTTTCTCAGACCTATTCTAAAGGGAGCTGACACGTTGTGCCTCTTCACTTTTACTTTCTAAGGGTCAAAGTTCATATGGCGAGGGATTCCTTTGAGCGATATGAGCCGGCCCGTGCCTTACCTTGGACTTCTAATAGAACTGCTCGGGTCTTGATAGATTGAGTGGGGAAGTTCAGGAGATATATGTTATATGATTTCAACACTGAAATCAGCTGTGTGATTTGATGGTTGTTCTACAGGGCTTGCTCCACAACCAGTTAGGATGCCTAGCTGGGTATTTCCTGTGGAGTGTAAACAACAACATTGTGTGTTTACAGTACTTCAAATTATTTAAATTTGCGTATGTTTGGACTGCGGTAATATCATTAATTGTTTTGTACAGCCATTCATAAAGTTACTGTTAAATATATGTTGATAACAGTGGCTATAGTTCAACAATAATCTAACTTTCCCAGCTCACTCATAAAGAGACTGAATTGAATGACTATAATATAGTTTAAACAGTGTATTGAAGAGTGTCTGTGAGTGTGTGTCAGCTTTATTTGGATTCATGGTGGTTCTGCTTGATGACTCTTGTGTTCACTGGACCAGTTTCCCTCCTCTCAGTTTCTTCCTCTCTGCAGCTGCAGCAGGACGCTGACTTGGGAGCAAAAAGCATTGCTTTGGTTTTCTTACCGTTCAATAGCCGTTTAGAATCAAGAAGCGCATGCTGCAGCGTGATAAAATCAGATTTTAAATTGGAAACGGCCATATCCAGAGAAGGAACACATGAGTTTACAATAGTGTCATCAGCATACATATGATAGGTAGAAAATTGCATCTGATTACAAATATTATTTACATATAATAAAAAGAGCAAAGGCCCCAAAACAGAGCCCTGTGGAACTCCCTTCTCCAAGGTGACAGGGTCAGAGACAGTACTATCCAACCTGACGCATTAGCCGCTTTCACACCAAGTACTTTGCCGTACTTATTGCCGGCACTTAGGGCCCCGGCACTTATTACCCCAGGGCACTAAGTACCAATCGCGTTCACACCGGAGTACTTTTCCCTGAGGGAAGATTACGCAAATGAGCCGCTGACGTCATTTCGTCTTCTTCTGCTGGGTTTACTGGCAGGCCGCAAACAACTTCACGGCGTATACTGCCACCCGAAGTCCCCGGCCGGAAGTCCCCGGAGTTGGGGACTGGCTTCAGTTGAAGCTGCTGGGACTCCCAGCTGCTTCTACTGAAGCCTTCCGAGTAAATCGCCAGAATGCCGATACCTCCTCATCACTCCACCGCTCCCATGTTTTTTCACAGCTCAGCACTCTGTACGCTGGATATTTTACAGATGTCATTGATGTACAGTATAAACAGTTTAGGGCCCAACACTGACCCCTGGGGGACACCACAAGCAATCTCCAAACATGAAGAACAGTCATTTCCCAACTTCACATGCTGCTGTCTATTGCTTAAATAGCTTTTAATCCAGTCTAAAACTAAACCCCTGATACCATACCTTTCTAATTTATGTAGTAGGATGTCATGGTTGCATATTTGTTGTGTTCAAGGGCATCTGTGATATCCTCAATTGATTCCATAATTGCCAGTGATGTTGATCTGTT